TTGACAATACATGAACAGGTTTTTTTTTTCAAATTTTGTTACATAGTGTAATCCGGAGGGGGGCAGTCGTAGCTTGGGTGCAATGGGGGTTGGGTCTGAATAAAAATAAGGGGGCAGCGGAAGCATAAAGAAATGTTTGAAAAAAATTAAGATAAACTCGTAGTGATTCCTTTCCAAATGCACCCACAAGATGCAAGTTATAAATGTTTAATTATTGTTTTTTTGTGTCAGGAGCGACTTGAGAAACTGCAAGTCGCTTTTGATGTGAGAATTGGTTGTCTGCGAGGATGTTGCCTGGATGTTTTACCATCCTATGGGAGGCTTCTCTCATGTCCCTGCATGAGAAGCTGGAGCTGACAGATGGAAGATCACGCCACTCCCCGGATTCGAACTGCTCACTTTTCGGTCAGCAGTTCTGCAGGCACAAAGGTTTAACCCATTACACCACTGGACCATAATGAGTTAAACAAGGTCTTAATAAGCAAGTACTTGCAGGCAAGCATGTTGTGCATTGTCAGGAAGTCCAGCATGCATCGACAATATGTGTGTGTAATGATTTGTTTATAAAACTATAAATAGGCGACGTGTGGAATCTAATTTAAATTGTTTTTGAATTATTGGACAAGTAGTTAATAATAGTGGAAGAAATCTTTAAAAAAATAATTCGTTCTGCTGACAAAAAGAGCTGAACATTAATAAATTGAAAGCAGTCCACCAGGTTGATTCTCCTCATTTAGGATTGTTTTTGTGGAAAATACAAATTTGACTGTGGGTTATTTTAATAATTTTATAATTTCACATTTCAGTGACTTATTAACAACATATTTCTTTACTCTGCTTTAGGATGTAGGCAGAAATAAAGATAGTTAAAATAATGCAAATTGATCACACCTTTCTGTTTGTTGGCATAAAAAAGTTAGATTTCCAGGGCAGATAAGCATTTTTTCTGAAAAGGGAGCGGTATGTCAAATAAGTTTGGGAACCTCTGGTCTAAACCAACCATCAAATACTAGGCTGGGATGAGTTTTTGACCTTTTGTCAAACACAACAGAAGAAAAAACTATTTCCAGTTTCTAGAGTTTTAAATTCCCTAAATACAAGACTATTTTCCCTCTTCTCCCACTTGGTAAAAGTGACAATAGAGGAAATAGAGTAAACTACAATACAGGTCTGTTCTGAGTGTAACAGCAAAATAGTTTCTGCTTGGATTTTTTTCCTCCTTGAGCATCTGAAAATAGATCTGCCTGTGCAAAATTCCACTTACTCATTATTGCAGACTGTAAACAGAAGCTGAAAACGAGTAGCTCATGAAAGTCTTGCAACAGTCTGCTGTTATTATGGTGGAGTTCGAGATTTTGGAGGTTTTTAAACAGGCCCCTTCCACACAGCTGAATAAAATCCAACATTATCTGGTTTGAACAGGGATATATGACAGTGTCCACTCAGGTAACACAGTTCAAAGCAGATATTCTGGGTTATATGGCTGTGTGGAATGACCCAGGGACTGGATGGCTATCAGGACAGCCCTTGGGGTCTCTGCCAGCTCTATGATTCCAAAAGAAAGAAAGAGGCAGACTAAAGAATAGCAATGATATTGAAATATGTCCTACTGTTCTGAGTCAAAAACACTGGAACCCGAGAGTGCAAGTAATGAAAGCTAAGTTGTAACAATATTAACAGGATGCTTATACTCATTTTCATAATTAACACTGGATGGATATTAGACAGAAATGGTTGAGAAAACTCCCTGTCTGTGCCTATATTTAGAGAAGAGAAATTTACCTGCCACAGTTGAACAGAAACAGCAAGCTGACCTCATAACCTACTCACCTCATTCTTCTGACACATAATTTTTAAAAAGAAACACGTGTAAGTGAATCTCTGCATCAAAGAATTGCAATACTATCATTTGTTTGGCATTTTAGAGTAATAGTTATTGAAGGCTCAATTTTTTTTTTAGAGTAACTGTGTTAAGATTTTCTTCTGGATCTTGCACTTTTTCCTGTGACTACATTAGTGCCTTTTTTTTTAATAGGGAGGCAATGCTCCTTTGCTGAAATATAAATTGTTTTATTTCCACCATGGCACTATCTATTCACAAAAGTGAGTGGCACCTTCCTGTGAGGCCAGAGGATACGCTGATAGCATATTTTTGCTGTGTAGCTAGACTATTTGTTCTGAGCAGTTACTCATGGGTGACACCGAAAGAGGATCTCTCGGGTATAAACACAGTTATATCATAGCCAGCACTTGTTAGTACTACACATAAGGAGGTGTGGCAGTCCTTCATTTGGATATCTTTTACCACAAAAACCCTATGATGAGACAATGTAAAACGAGGCAAGAGATGAGATGAAACTCCAAAATTGGATTGAACTGAATGAGCTACCAGAGGAAAGCAGAGAACAACTACAAACAGCGCTGAAGCTAATGATGTACCTGGATGCAAGCCAAATGGACTTTCTGCTGTTGACATGCTCAGGGGCAAAAAGGAAGTCCAAAACTGCATGACACATATTATAAGGACATGAAATGTGAGAAACACAAATAAGGGTAAGCTAGACATGGAAGAACAAGAATCAGAACATATACAAATTGCAGTGCTTGGGATGTGTGAGATACAGTTGTCAGGAATTCAGGAAATGAAAATCTAAGAAGAAATGGGGTGGCATTAATAGCGAGGGGAGATGTAATAAAAGCAGTCAAGGGATATAATGCCAAGTCTGACTGAATAGCAACAATAAAGCTTCAGGGGAAACCCATCAATATAATCATAGTTCAAATTTATGTTCCAACTATAAAGACAAAGAAAGAAAGACAAGTAAATCTATGCTGGAGCCCAGGAAGAACTTGATCACAGAATGTTTTGTTAATCATAACCAATTGGAATGCAAAAATAGCAAATACGGCAACATCAAATTTTGTAGAAACATTTGGTCTAGGATCAAGAATTGAAACAGGAGAGTGATTAATTTTATGAAGCCAACAGCTTTTTCGTCACAAGCAATCAAAGAGGCACTTTACACATGGACATCATCTGATAACAAATATAGAAATTAAAGGTGAGCTGGACACTAGGGCTGCCCTTTCCTCACAAATGCAGGTTAGGGAGGGGGTTGAGCTCAGGATCTGTAGCAGAGAAAGCGGGCACAGAAGCTGGCAGATGAGTGGCTGAGGAGAGGCTCCACAGCCACAATGTTGTTCCAACGCTGCATCACATTACTGAGGGTGCATGGGCACAATAGTGTGATTACATTATTGTGGAGACTAGATTAATAAGGCATAATGACCATCAGATGCAGAGCAGGGAGTTTATATTTGTATAGGTCTTTAGTTATAGTTTAACTGTAGTGTATGGCATTGTAGCTGTATAATTCTGATAGGTTTACATATCTCAAATTTCTGTTGGTGTGTTTTATTTTGTTTTTCTTGAGTGGGGATGCTCTATGACCAGAAGGGGAACACATTATATAGCCAAGTGGAAATAAAAAGATGGAAACAATATATATACAAAAGAGATGAAAGAGTGAAAGATTAATTCAAAAAAGCATATGAAGATAAACCTCAATTTTTAGAAAGTAGAGTGGAAGCTGTGCCCAAAGCACTTGGAAAAAAACCTATCAGTAACAGATGGCATAGTAACAGAGTTGCCTCAAGCCAAAGAGACAGAATCTATTCTAGTTCTAACTAAAATCTGTCAACTAATATGAAAAACGAAAGAATGATCCAGAAGTTAGAAATACTCAATATACACTCCAGTCCACAAGAAAATGGACACCAGGGATTGTAGTAACCAAATGGCTATCACATTAATTTCCCACACAAGCAAAACTGTGCTCAAAATTCTATAACAAAAACCTTTCTCATATATGGAAAGAGAAATGGCAGTTTCCCAAGCTGGGTTCAGGAAAGGAAAATGTACTAGGAAGCATATTGCAAACATACATTGGAGTATACCAAGGAATTTCAACAGGAAATCAGCATTTATAGCAAAGACTTTGTGTAAACCATGAGAAACCAGCACTCTTAAAAGAAATGACTGTGCCATGACATTTGATTTCCTATGAGTTTTCTTCACTGTCTGGCTCTCACAATCACAAATATTCATTTGAAATATGACCTAGACAATCCTAACTAGTATTCATGTGACACTTCAGGATTTTGTCTAGTCCCTTCATAGCTGTTTTTCCAAGTCCTGGTCTTCTGATTTTTTTTTCTTTTCTTAATAAAGCAAAATATGTATTATTCATATATCTGGAATATATAATTACAGAATTTATTTAAGAAGAACAGGGTTATGACCAGAACTGTACAGCAGAGTGAGCAAAATGTAAAGTGCATGCATTCTCCAAAATCCTTTTCTGTACACCTTTAGATTTTAAAAAATGCATCATAAAATTTGGGCATGTAACAAATCATTTTGTTGTTGTTAATTTGTTCAGTTGTTTCCGACTCTTCGTAACCTCATGGACCAGTCCATGCCAGAGCTCCCTGCCGGCCGTCACCACCCCCAGCTCCTTCAAAGTCAATCCAGTCACTTCAAGGATGCCATCCATCCAACCATAAATCATTAGAACAGTCAATTTAGACCTCTTTTGTTCAATATTAGCAATGTCATATTAAAATCTATTTAAATACATTTAAGTTTCACATACAAACTACTAAAATTAATAATAATAATTCAAATATAAATAGTAATGTTTAATGACTAATGGTGCATTTGAAGTAATATCCATAGTTACTCTGATGTATACTGAACTGAAAAACCCAGAGGGGAAAAACAATTAAGTGCAGCCTTTGAGCACTTGGTCAACCTGTCAAATGGTCCTGGCCCTATGGTAGTTGCCCATATGTTGTATGGGATCCTTAAAGTAGTACCACTGGAGCAAAATGGGTAGGGATCAATATATACATTTTGTACTTTCTTAAATACCTCAATGGCTACTGAGGACTAGTATTTAAAGGGAGGCAAGCAGAGAAATGAGAAGACACAAGGCAGGTAATAAAAAATACTAGCCCGTTGTTTAATATTTTAAACACATCAGGGTAAATGAACATTAGAGAATGTCAGTTGTTTTTCATTACAGCTAAAACAGTAGGTGTCCTTACAATACTGATTGCAACCATCTCCAACATTCATACAGTTTAAAATTTCAATGTCTACAGAAACAAAAGAAGTGGAAAATGTGCAGTTAATGCAAATAAGTCTTCTAGACTCTGGTTTAAATCTTAAGTTAATGGAGGGATGTTTCTCCATCATCCCTGTGCCTCCACTTCCCCAATATTTCCTAAACAACATGAGGTAGGGCAGAAAAGAAGTGAGTAAAATTTCCTTCCACGAACTTCCTTAAATTACTGTATCCAAGGATACATGTAAGGCCCACGCTCAAAATGCAGGGTTCATTACATAACATACACGTATCCATTAAAGGTTCACAGGTAGAAATGTAAAAATAGGGAGACAGGCTAAAACATTTGGCCCTGGTAGCTCACCATGATTATTTCAATTGAAACATAATTTGTTCCTCCATAAAACAAAGCAGAAAGCCTGCACGTCCTTTGGGGTGGGGGAATGCACAGACGATGTTATCTTGTCACACACGCAGGTTTCAATTCTTCATTAACAAGATTTTTGGCACCATACAGGCATCCAAGTACACAGTGTAACCAAGCAGAAAGACTGAGAAATACAAAAAGCCCCAAGCCTTTCCCCTCTCAAACTACCCACTGAAGATTTTTAAAAAAGTTGTAGCACATCATTGCAACTGGAGAAAAAAAAGTTTCAAGAATAACACAGCAAGAAAGCTATGTTCTAAAGAAATCTGCCCTGCTGCACCGGCTCCAATGTTGGCATTTCCCACGTTTACTACAGTTCAGAAAAACATTGATTAACATTATCTGGTGCACTTTTCCCACTGAATTTCAACAGATAGTAGCTAAATGGAAACTTGGTAAACAAAATATCTTTTCAGGGGATTTCAAATCAGTCGTTTCAACATAATAGCACACATGCAAACTTGTATTCAAACAAGCCAGAAGAACAGTGCAACAAATTCCCCCCTTTCCATAGGGAATGGGACAAAGTTACCGTAGAATAAAATTTGAAGTTGCGTACATAGCAACAAAAAGAGATTTGTGTGAATTTTTCCACAAATAGTAGTGAGTGGCAGAGTCATGCGAGGAATGCGGTAACCTCTTCTTGCCCTCTGCACCCCAATATTCTTATGGCTCAGCAGTCCTGGTGCCATGGCTTCAAGCAACAGCAAGAAAGACCAGACACTGGAGCCTGCTTTTTCCTTAGAGCACCATTTTCCAGGCAGTCGCACAGAGTCCACATTGAAACAGGCATCATATCTCCACATCACTTTCTTTATCGTTATCGTGTTCGCCATCATAGAACTCATTGGAAGCTTCTGGCCTGCAAAAAAAGTAACACAAGAGTGACAATAGAAGTAGACTGAAGATGTGCAGTCCAAAATTAAATACAGACATTTCATCTGTGTTCTAAAAATTACAGGAATCATCTCTGAAAAATAGGACACTGGGCATTAAGTGAAGACCCTTCTTAATTCACAGTTAGAATTATTTTGGCTTAAGAGGCAGACTGCCAAATAGTACAACTGGAGGGACATGCTAACATAGCATACCCAAATGAGTGGTGCCTCCTGCCCCATTCCCATTCCCATCTCCATGCATGCTTCTTCACTACTAAAGCATCAGTGGTGAGGGAACTATTCCTAAAAGAGCAGCCCCTTCAAGATCAAGGTGGCTTACATAAAGGCAATTATTCAATGCCTTAAAGCACATACAATTCCAAAAACTTAAAATTCAAATTAAATTAAAAATAATACATATTAATCATTTAAAAACATTCAATTCCATATTAAAAGCATGCCATCTTAAAATCATTAAAATCGTGGCATCTCGGAGCAGCAGCTCTCAAGGAAGCTGCTCCTATGTGCCCCTTCCATTTCCCAAGGAGAAAGGCAGGAGATATATGGGCCTTTTCCAAGGAGGAGCTTTGTCATTCAAGTGGAGAGGCTCAGGGCCAAGACAGATGATGGGATGAGACATAACTTTTAAAATTATATTGAGGATGAGGGAGCGGGGAAAGGCAGCTGAACTTAATACGTGAACAAGGAAACATGCCTGCTGTAGTTATCCTCTGACCCTCTCTCTTCAGGATCGGGCTCATCAGTGCGCTCATAGCTCAGCAGATCAGAAGGGACATCGTGGATTTGGACACTAGGTGCATGATTCAACATCTTCAAATTCTCAAATATAGTCTGACGGATTTGATCTAAGTACTAATCAAAAGAGAGAATAAAGAAGCCAAGTTATGTCAAGTCAACCTGTATTATTATTATTATTATTATTATTATTATTATTATTATTATTATTACGTTTATTTATATCCTGCTTTATCTCCCCAAAGGGGACTCAAAATGGCTTGACACAAAAGTAGTGATATCCAATTTAAAATATACAAATATACAAACATTAAAACAGAATTCAACACAACCAGCATTTTAAAAACTCAGTTAAAATCCATCAAACATATTCAAAGTTAAAACCCACAGTACCCCCGACCAGACCTCAAACACCTTCACCTTTAAAAGCCTGTTTGAATAAAAAGGTTTTAGCCTACTGCCAAAGGACTGTAGGGAGGGGGCCATTCTGGCTTCCCTGGGCAGGGAGTTCCAGAGTTGAGGGGCAGCCACTGAGAATGCCCGCATTCTCGTTCCCACCAACCAAGCTTGAGATGGAGTGGGATCAAGAGAAGGGCCTCTCCTGAAGATCTCAGGGCTGAGTCAGGTTCCTACAAGGGCATCCGGTTGGCCAAATAGCCTGGATCTAAACCATTTAAATAATTAAACCATTTAACTATTGAAAAGGAGAACAATCCTTTTGACAATTTATAAGAGAGAAGCAATTTCTTCTTCTTCTTGCCAAGAAAAACATAGTATGGGGAGACTGGAAGGGTCAAAGGCTTCACGTATGACCTTGGGGCCGTGTAATTCCAGGGTGCACTTTCTCTTCCCTGAATTATGTCCCTGGAAAATTTATTCCACAGTGCCTATTCCAATGCCTATTGAAATGTATGAGAATTTTCACCATCCAGACAAGTGGCTCTGTCTACAACAAAGTCAAGACAAATTCTCCCCCTTTTGTAATCTTCCTGCGTGACTTATAACTCTTGAAAAGTATCTACCGAAAGTTGCATACTATCTCAATTCTTTTCACATCTATCATCTACAACAGAAAAACAGATTTGAAAAGGCAAAACCTATCCATAATATTTCAGATCTGGAGCTGAGTAAAACAGCATGTCCAGGAAGACAGGATTTTAAAGTGGGCAGTGTTTTCTGGCCATATCAGAAATAGGCTTTGCACAAGCTCTGACAGGAGTTAGTCAAGAGTTACAGGTAAGATACTCTCCTTGGCTACTGGAAATTCCCCCCCAAAAAGAGAGCTTTGGCCTCATCTTTGTTAAGCCCTCTGTGTAGCTATGTCATTATCCCTATGACAGAGGATTCTAAATGTCTCAAAAGAAACTGTAAATTATACTCCTTATCTGCCAAAATGATTTTTGAAAGATATAGAAGTGCATCTCAAATGCAGCTGTAAATATTATTACTGGTGTAAACAAGTGAAGAGAAAGTACAGGATCTATATCTGTAATAGTATGTAATATCTGTTATACCTTCACAAAATGTAACTGATGTGTAAAATGTACTATGTTTACTAATTTCTGCCATCTCTTCAGCCTGAACACCATAAATGCCAACAGTGTAGAAAACATTGTACCACTTAAATGACATAAAGAAATCAGGGGCAGTAATAGTATATTTTCTGAAACAAATCAGAGATGGCTAATTGAATGACATATATCCAGAAGTACTCACCTGCCTCGAATTCTGATTCTCAATTCTAGTGCTGACATCAGGATGAAGGGTGAAGTCTGGAGCAAAGTATTCAAAGTATTCTGCACAGAGATCGAGGCAGAGCATAAATATACTGACACTAATACTATTAGAAATGCCTATACATTTAAAAAAGAACAAGAGGAAAGCTATGAACAGCCCATTTCAGTCACACAAAATGCTTATGCAGTGACTAACCACGAGGTCATGCTTTGCCTGAGGCAGCATTATGTTCTCAGAACCTTTTCTCCTTCTACATACACCTCATTGAAAAGGCACTTCTCCTTATGAGTCCTTTACAAGGTGAATTTTAAAAAGTATTTATCAGTAGACATCACTCTAAATTGGGGGGGGGGTGAAATTAAACAACAGAACACTATTGTTTGATTGCCAAGATTTTCCTGCTCTTTTGTCAACATCTATTGATGATTAGCATATGGAACTGGGCAGTTTCATTTAATGCCATCATGAAACAGAATACCCTTCAAATAATTAAGCTTCAATGGGGAATGAATCTGGCAGTGATGCACTGCCACTTTGATGTTCATTTTAGCCCTCTTTGTTAAATCAGAAAAACACACAAAAAGGGAGTACATTTGGTATATTGCTGAAGCTTCTGGAGGGAGGGAGTGAACTTGCTGATCCCTGCTTTAAATGTTGGAACTAACGCTTTGAATTGTGTCCAGAAATGGGCTAGACGCCAATACACAGGTCTTATATTGTTAAAACATCCAGGCATAGTTAACATGCTCACAGCTGTATTTTGGACTAAACTGGAGATATTCAGTGGCTCTTCAGGGGTTTATAGTGTTCATTACCTCTGCTACGCCTACCTCCAGTTTATTATTTTTTAACCAAAATGCTGCATGATCATGGGGTGTCTGTGCCCTACACCACTGGAGAAATTACACTGTCTAGCCGATATCGCACCACCTGACATCCGCCAGGAAGTGGCAGCCAATAGTGACCAAGGCAGAGACATCTCCAGCTCATCCCGTTTGGGTATCAGCCAGCACATCAACGACTTAAATCCAGACAGTTTTCTAAGATCTACAGAGACACTCGCTGGAACGCCTCAGCAAGCGAGAGTCCAAAAATGGCAGGCTCAAACCCAGAACCACAACCAATGGCTGATACCAAATGAGAGACTCCCCCCTGGGCACACAGAGGACCGGGCGACTTGGAAGGCGCTGAACAGACTGCGCTCTGGCACCACTAGATGCAGAGCCAACCTTCAGAAATGGGGCTACAAAGTGGAATCCTCGACATGCAAGTGTGGAGAAGAGCAAACACTGACCACCCGCTGCAATGCAACCTGAGCCCAGCCACATGCACAATGGAGGACCTTCTTGCAGCAACACCAGAAGCACTCCAAGTGGCCAGATACTGGTCAAAGGACATTTAATCAACTACCAAACTCACACATTTTGTATTTTCTCTGTTTGTAATATAAATGTAATATAATTGACTGGCTGCCCTGACACGAGAAAGAAATAAACCAAAATGCTTCATAAACAGCCCTAGGGGTTTGGGAGACATGGATCATTACAGACCAAGAAGGTTCTCCTTTTTCAAAAGGAAGAAACCAGAAGAGAAGAGTAAACTTTTGGCCTAAAACAGGCCAATGGTCAAAATGTAGGGAAACAGGCCCTGACATTCCACAGAAATCGGGAGAGCACTTTTAAAAAACAAAACAAAACTGGAGAGTTTGGGGTGCTCTAGGATCACAAAAGTGGTATAGAAAGGAGCGTATGGTGCATAGGCATCCTTTCCCACCACCCCTGGTTTAGTGGATGGGCAGCCTCCAACAAAAGAACTGACTAGTCCTCAGTTCTACAGAGGTACAATTCAGCAGTAATAACCCATGCCTTTTGGACTGAATTTCAATTTATTGGCTTTTAACCAGTCTGTCACCATGTCCTGGAACTCCTAATAAATAAACTTGATATTTAGGGGATGTCTGGCATATGCTACTCATGAACAATCAATATATATATATAAAAATGCTCTGTGCGTAATGAGTACCTTAAAAACAAAAGAACCAATGAACGAAATCACACCAAATTTGGCAACAAAATGTCTCATAACACAAGGAGTGACCATCACTCAAAAATTATGATTTTGTCATTTGGGAGTTGTAGTTGCTGGGATTCATAGTTCACCTATAATCAAAGAGCATTCTGAACTCCACCAATGATGGAATTTAACCAAATTTGGCACACAGGACTTCCCTGACCAACAGAAAACACTAGAAGGGTTTGGTGGGCATTGACCTTGAGTTTTGGATTTGTAGTTCACCTACATCTAGAGAGCACTGTGGAGTCAAACAGTGATGGATCTGGACCAAACTTGGCACGAATACTCAATATGCCCAAATATAAACATAGATGGAGTTTGGGGGAAATAGACCTTGACATTTGGGAGTTGTAGTTACTGGGAATTATAGTTCACCTACAATCAAGGAGCATTCCGAACCACACCAACGACAGAATTGGGGGCAAACTTCCCAAACAGAACCCTCATGAACAATAGAAAATACTGTGTTTTCCGGTGGTCTTTGGTGACCCTTCTGACACCCTCTCATAACCCCCCCCCCCCCCCCCCCCCCCCCCCCCCCCCCCCCCCCCCCCCCGGTCCCAAACCCCAGGTTGAGAAATGCTGCCTTAAGGCCATCCAGTCCAACTCCCTTCACCAGGGCAAGAAAGGGCCATCCAGCCATTCACATACACACATATATGTATATGACAGATGCAGTATCAAAGATTTGAAAGGGACCCCTAAAGAAGGACAATTATATGTTGCATTTTCCAGAGTAGGCAAACCAGACAATCTTCACATCAACACTGGCAAAGAAACAGCAAGAAATACTGTCTACCCACAAGCATAAAGAAATTACATATATTAGAAACCAATACTTTCTCATTACTTTATTTTCCAGATCACCAGACTGGGCCAAAGCAACGCATGGCAGGGGACCACTAGTAACATATAGATATCTTTGGGAAGTGATGTAAAATACAAATGAGAAATCCTGCAGAAATGGAATCCATTTATCCTCTTTAAAAATGATAAGAGCTAGTAAAAAGTGAGACATGTGCTATAATTTCTTGCTCATTTAACGCCTACTTGCTACTTGTTAGCTATCAAAATATTTTTGATTGAATGTTTAAAGTATGTAATTCTATTTTATATTTATCCAGGTTGATGATAAAAACTGAACAAACAAGTAGCAGCAAAGATAAGCAGATTTTAACTTGGGGAGTCTCTGACTTACCACTGTATGGCAACTCCTCACTAATAGCTTCTTCTACAAGCAATGATGTTTCATAAGTCCTGAAAGTTTAGAGACCACATTCGAAATCAGAGTGCATCAGCAGTATGACATCATACAAATCTGTGCCACTTGTAACTAAGAGACATAGAACCCCAGCTGATTTTCAATAAAAAGGGGCTGCCACCCCAAGCTTCCAGAAGACTCACCAGCATCGGGCCACATTGCGAACTGTGTAGCCACCTCCTCCCAACACCAGAAGTGGAATGCTGAAACTCTTTACATATTCCACACACTCCCTAAAATTCAAAGTTATAAAAAACAGAAATGAACAACATTCAAACTAGCTTACATCTACATGTTGTATATAAACTGTAGTTTTCTGGAAGAATAGCTGAAAGTGCAGAAATCCTCAAAAATGTACAAATTACTACCAAAACGGATGTTGAGTCTCAACTGAAATAATGTATGTGTCGGTGGGTAGGAGATCCTAAAGCTACTTAAGTGAAAACAATAAAGCTAAACGGTATTCAACAATGTTACTTAGAGGAAGAGGGGAAGTGACTTGCCTCAAAGTGACAAGGGGATGCATCTCCCCCTCAGACTATAGGCTGCCAGTGTCACTAGAGTGGAAGCATCGAAGTGCAAACCCTCCAATGTTATTGGGTCAGCCTTAATTAATATGGAACAATGGTGAGAAATGCTATAACCTACAGTCCAACAAGCTGTGGACTCTGACATTAAATATCCAGAAACACTCAATGAAGCGCAAGGACTGAGCTTGAACTCTTCAACGTTTTAGGGGTTAAAAAGAGTTGAAAAGTCTACTTACTCATAGTAAATTATATTGACATAAGCAGTTAAGTTTTACCTACTGGCTTCAATTGTTAATTCAAAACTGAAAGAACTCTTAGAATACCATGTATTCTCAATCCACCTGATGCTATTAATCATTCATAGCAAGTAAAGAAAGATCTGAGAACAATCCAAACTCGTCAAATGGGGTATAAAAAACTCCCGTGCTTATCCCAACTTTTGTGAGAAGGCAAGTATTGTGGAGGCCTTCCTTAAAACAGACAACCTAGAAGACAAAACTTATCCCAAGTGTGTTCACAAGGGAAGTGAAACAAATATGGGAAGAAGCTTTTTGGAGCACAGTCCCAAAATCAGGTTTGACCTGAAACCACATCATTACTCAGGAAAGCTAAAAAAAATCTTGCTCTGGGCAAATTTTTCAAAGTAGAAAACCAGCAGTTTCAGAGGAGATATTAAGGGTCATGAAAGAGTCAAGTCAGGAAACAGATGATCAGATCTCCCAAAGTTCTGTTTCTATTTTGACATTTCCACAAGGACCATAACATTAATCAAATCAGCAGCACTGTTTGCCCAATATACACTACATACTACAAAGCAGGCATCACAATACCGTCATATATTCATTTCTGGTTCGTAAGGATTGGAATGTGTATTTAAAATTTGTGGGAAACACCAGCAAGATTGGAAGGTTTTTTTATTTCATCTCTTCTTCCAGCTTTTTCTCCACAAACGTTAATCCCACAAACGAACATTACATTTTTATTTATATAGATATACAACAGCAGATTTGGGAAGGCAATTTATAATGTGTAAACAGTGCAGGGGGAAAGGAGACTCAGATGTCTTTCCAACATCCACTCCCCACTAGCCCAAAGTAAGAGATCCCATAACTGCTTTAAAAAGGAAGAAAAAAATGGAAAATCCTGTCAGGTCTCTCTTGACTCTAATGTCCCCTTTTACCCATGTCAGCTTTTAAAAAGGCTTACCCATGTCCTCTTATACTGAGATTAAAGCAACCCAAACGATCACACCCTAAGGAGTCAGCTCCACACTGAAAAGAAAAAAAAATAATGAAGAAAAAAATGAAAATACTGGACAATCCACCTGCTGATAATTATATCCCAGAGCAATGCCTGGGGGAATGAGTTCACTGAAGGGACAGATTCCCACTGACCCAAGATATTTTTCAAGGGTCAGATAATGTCAAAGTCTTCCCAGGCTACATGCTTTCATACTATTCTCTATTTAGAGAAATGCACAAATGATCACCTCTGGCCTAATCTGAATTGAGAAATCTGTATAAAGAAATTCATAAGTATAGTTGCTACACCTGGCTCACTGGCCTACCAAGTGTGAGACATGGACAAAGTAGACTCAACTGGCACCTGCAGAAGTATCTCCTCCAAGCACCAGATGAATATACAGTCAGCTTTGCTCAGCTTTGTAACATGGAGAAGGTCTGAGGGCAGGGAAGTAAGTTCTGGTATGGCCTCTTGGAGGCTTGGAAGCACAATCATTCACTTGCCTCGATCCCTTGCAGGATGGAAATGAGGTTTGCATAAGTTTATTTTGGCTGGACAATGGTGTAACCCAACAGGTCAAATCCAACATGTGAGCTGGATATTCCCTACTCCTGTTCTAGAAATATGGGAGGAGCACAAAACACTCACAACGTAATTAAAACTATGCATCACATTTTAACCTCCCCACTTCCGCCTCATGTTGACAAAAAACATAATATGGCCCTCTGATAATGATAACTAACTAGGCATCCTTTCCCTTACCTGCAGCACTATGCATGTGGGCTGATAGAATTCTACCACTTGGTTAATGACTGGTTGGAAGAGGTGTTTGTAACCTTCAGAAGACAAAATAAGATACTGGGGTTATAACTACTCTGCACAGAAAACAGGATTTATAACAAGGCCAAGGACTTCTACTCACTTTGGTCATCAATGCCATCACGTAAAGGTACATTCAGACAGTAATAGCGGCCACTCTCTGCCCCAACTTCATACATGTCACCTGGCAAGGGAAAATATGGCAAAGTACAGAACTGCAACATTTTTGAAGTGTCAAACAAGACAATTTCAACTTCGTGCAGGTGAGCTTTATACAGAGCCTGAAGAAATTCTGGCCAAGATTGTGCTTCATATTGTTATATCTCCATAGCTGTTTCTCAGTGCTATCCCACAGAAACCCACCATGCATGCAACACAGCTCTTTCTGTAATGTTGACAGAGAGAGGGGGATGAACAGGGTCATAGCTAGCTATTTTCACGTAGCAGGACACACTGGGCCAGGCATCTCCAGACACTTGCAAGGTCCCTTGCAAGCTCTCTGCATAATGATGTCCTTGTAGTACATCCAGTGACAAGGAAATAGCTGTATACAGTGCAATTCATCTCTCCGCTCTCTTACACCACAGAAATGGTCATGCTCTGTGTGTGTGTGCGCGCGCGCGCATGTGTGCATATGATGCGTGTTTATGCTACCTACAAGGTCCGGGGTGGTGGTTAGCCATTGCATGGTCAAAACAGATTTCTGACCTAAGCAACAATAACAAAAATGAGTAGCAATAGCATGTCCAATTTAATTAATTAATTAATTAATTTACTTTACTTATATACCGCTGTTCTCAGCCCGAAGGCAACTCATGGCGGTTCACTTTATTTTAAGCCATCATCATTCACAATTCAGCTTCTTTTCAACCAAATGCAGGAAGACGTCAAGTCTTGCATGGTTCTGCTATAACAAAATCTTTGACTAGTACTCAAAACTGATTCTTTATCAAACTTTGATCATGTAATCAGCGTTAGTTCTATCTCCACCAAAATAACAAAAATTCCCCACCTGTACCAGGGAAGAAGTAATTCCCATATTTATGAAAAGACACTGTCATGACACGATCAGTCAAGTAAAAAGCCTCCTGGACACCATCTCCATGATGAATATCTATATCAATGTAAAGTACACGTGGGTGATACCTATCAGAGAGCAGAAACCAAAAGATGTGTTAGAAGATAACAGAGGCTGAGTGAAATCCAATACAAAACAATACTATTTAGCCACCTTGTGCAAATCCAAAATTATTACCAATATTTCAGAAAATGGAGCAGAAAGTTTGGCTGAATTTCTGATGGTAGGACAAGAAGCAAATATTTGGATACCACAACCAGTGGATGAAACCCAGACAGGCAACCTTCATTTCAGATAATAGGACATAGTGCTGTATTCATCTTCCTTGCTCAGAACACTTAAGGAGAAAGTTTTGGTAAAAGGGCACTTCACTCAACATATAATCAAGCCGAAAAACGAATACAGAGAAACATACTGCTAATGGAGTAGTAGTTCATTAATGCTTCAACCACAGATCGATTTCACACATAATTCATACGTACAATATTAAAGGACAATATAAAATTAGCCACCCCAAATTCTTCTGTGGAGGGGGAGGGGGCAGGATATAAATAAAGCTTTGTTATTACTATTATATAGATCTTGCATATTAAAATTCAATACAATTAAAATAATGATATTAACATTTAGATTAAACCAAATCAGATGAGATAAGAACATCCCCACAGCAATCACTATCAGTGATATATTTTGCCTGGCTTTTCACTGCTGCCGGGGTGAAAAAAAATCTTGTGAGTGATCACAGAATCAGTATCACATAGGAGAAAGAAGAAGAAAAAACCCTACTACTATTAATGTGTTAATGCTTTTCATTTAAGAATTCTTACCACCCCCCTTCAGAACACCAAATATTTTTATTTCCTGTATCCAGATAGTGATCCCTCACACAGAAAAAAAAAAAGCTGAATGGCAACAATTAAATATGTTGGTTGCAAACATTTCCAAATTTCACGCTTCTACAATGGGAATCTTTAGACACAATCTTTAGCCATAACAATTTGGCTGTGGACAGGCTGGGAAACCAGGGACTCTTGATCCCACTCAATTCACCCACCCCTCCAAATGGGGGCATAAGATTCTACCTTACTACCCATATTTCATCACATTAAGTTGCCATTGCATAATAGTTGTACCCCACTCTAAGAGAAGGTCTTTCCCTGTATAATAGTCGCACTCTTAGTTCACTTGCCCAGATGAAAGAATTAATGGTGAGGCTGCTCTTTTGCCACTACTGGGCTTGACTCAGCTTGGAGCCAAGTCAAGCCCCACAGCACCAAATAAAAGGGGCAGGTGGGCAGGAAAGCATGTTCACTCACCCCAGCCATTCTCCTCCACAGCTAAACTTTGAGGGCACGGCCACACCGGTAAATGCCCACCTGTGCAGATGTGCCCTCAAAGTGAGTACTGATATTATGCAGCAATATATATATATATCATAACAGTCACCACTGCATAAGAGTTGCACTTTGGGAGGAAAGGGGGGGGTATTAAGTAGTGAAAAACTCTATTCTACTATCATCTCTGATTAGACAATCGAGGGCGGGAATGGGGGAAACAGAAAAACTTTTCACCAAGTTCGGAAAAGTTGTGAAGGCCAGCCTCCCATACTATTACTTTAACTTTGTGATACATTCAGCAATATATGAAACAGCAAGTATATGCTGTACAAAAAGAGCAAGGCCTGGTGACCGTGACCTTGAAATGCAGGGAGGTTGCCTAGTAATGAATACCTGGCACTCTGTTTCTACAATTACTATTGCTGGCTAAACAATTGAGCGACATACATGTTTCAGGGGGGAAATAGCTTCCCTATTCCTAGGCACCTCCAAGAACAATGGTTTTATGTTTAAAGAGTGCACATTCCCCCCCATGCACATTCCAAAGTATTAAAAATATTAACCAGACTTCCAGTAACTTCCAATTTCAATGTTTGCACTTGTTGGTTACAGAACATAAGAGTGGGCAATATCTCACTCTTATGTTACACAACATAAACGTCTAAACAGAGGTGATTTGAATGCAATATTCCTGCTTCTTGGCAGGGAGTTGGACTGGACGGCCCATGAGGTCTCTTCCAACTCTTTGATTCTATGATTCTATGATTCTAAACAACTACAAAGTCCTCAAACTGGAAGAGAGAGGCTGAGAAAAAAGCACTAAAATAACTAGCATCAATGAGGCAACACCTCAGCAGGAGTCTGTTGAAGAGGACTTAACGAATGAAATGTGGAGGGAACTAGGGACAAATACTCCTTCACTGAACTCCTAATCCCTCTGCACTGATACTGCTCCTTGGGATAGAGAAACCTGATTAGTCATATCTCAAATGCTCACCAAGACACATCAAAACCATATTAGCAACTGGTAGGAAACCAGCTAATCCATTGTGTATTTGCAACCTTTATGTTCCAACTGGGTCCTGTACCTTGTAAGCTGCTCAAAAAGTCAGCCATATAACGGATGATGCAATGACTAGCATGAGAATTAAATGAGAAAGAATGCTGACTTTGTGCCTCTTCTCTCCACGATGCAGTGTTCAGAAGTACAGGAGCTTCTCGATGCAGTTCAATGCAAACTTTGCTAATTTTCTGGTTCTGTCCTTGTACATCTTACATCAACTGCTTTCAGAATAAAGCCCAATAGTCTCTCTATCCCAAACTCCTAAGAGAGGCCAGAGTCCACATCTTTTCTGCCCTCTGTCCATCTGAGCTCCTACAAGAGTAAATCGGAGATTCCAAAATATTTGTGTGTCCACCTTTGGAAACTGTAAATGTGGTAGGTTGTAAAGTGGTGGGTAAAAGTAGAAAGAGAGCAAGTCGGCTAAGGCAATCACAATCACACCAGTGAGTCAGGAATATAAAATGCGATTAGGAAGCCCTAGGTGACAGGAGATAAATTGACCACAATCCCAAACACAGTACAAGCAAAAATGTAACATTGTAATTTCATCTTGATCAGCATATCTACAAAACGCTAAACTTCTTACTGCTTCAAAGAACATGTATCTTTGCACAACTGTTTTAAACTGACACACACATAAAAATCCATGGGTAAGAACTGTATCATGTCAGAACCAAACATTTCAAAACAATCATAATACCTGAAGAAGAAACCTTTAAAAAACAGGAATAGAAAGGATCATCATTGTAATGAAAATTGCACAGAACCAAACATTAAATATCTGGTGCAATCTATTTACTTAAGGCATAATTAACAGAATCAATTCATTCCCGCCCCAATGCACTGACACTTGCATAAATTCCTTACTTGAGAAGCTCCAAAATGCCAATCACGATGTCATTAACATAACAAAATCCAGAAGCCTAGAGCACAAAAAATGGAAAATAAAATAAGTGGTTTCAATGAAAAGCAGCACTAAGCCTTCTCAATACACCAAAAAGGAGGAGAGCAGACTTGCCTCATTACCTCAAACTTCTTGGCATGATGTAGGCCTCCAGCCCAGTTTATTGCAATATCACAAATCTAAGAACAGAGATACAAAGTTAGCCAAAAAGAAAGAGCACTGCAGTGCCCAAATAATAAAAAGAGGTGTTTATTCCCTATATTCTGAACTAACGTTTCCATTGCTGTCTCCTTTTCACAAAGCTGGTAAGGAGATTTGTGCTATCGTTTTTGTACAATACATCCAAAATACAACTCAACTTTTAGATAGCACTTTCAAGAATTCTAACCACACATAACCCTTGGGACAATCTTATAATGTAGGTGAGATTAATGCCACACTGGGACTGTGAAAAACTGCAGTTTATTTAAGGTCACTTAGTGAATTTATAGCAGAGGAATGTCCCAATTCATACTACACTAGTACTCATGAAACTCCTTCAGAGCAAAATGTAATGAAACCATTTAACATTTTAGAGAAATAAAGGACAGCATCTCTTAGAATGACCTGTACAACAGCAATTGTTCTACATATTTAAAGGCAGTGAGGAGGGTAAGTATAACATTGCCTTTTTACCTTATTATTTAGTTGTGTTGCTCCTTGCAAAGAGGCCCCAGTATACCGAGAACAAAATTCAAACAGACCTGGGAACACTGGGCTGAGAGAAAACAACAAAATGTTATAGGTATTTCAAGGTAACATGTTTGTTGTTGCTGTGTGCCTCCAAGTTGATTTTTAACTCATGTTGACCCTTTGGCGAACTAATCATAGGGTATACTTGACAAGATTTGTTCAGGATAGGTGAAGGTAGTTTTATGGTTGTTTTTTTTGTGAGGCTGAGAGAATTTGACTTGCCCCGAGGCCCCCAGAACCCTTGACCAACAAGCATCAGCCTCTCTCTCAAACTTGGATGTAGAAAACATGTGGAGATAATCCTAGTAACTGTACCGTGCTCCAGAGATTCTCAAAGGGTTTCAAAGTGCAGCAGAAGTGCAGGAACAATCTCCTACTAAGCCCCAAGCGAAAAAGGCTGAGGCTTGCTGCTCATCTGACATGACTGTATGGTCTGAGAACTACATCACAAGTATAGAAATGGCCAGCCATGTCAGCTCCAAGAGTGGAGAGAGTGAAGTTTTGATTAGTTAACAATATCAGCCAAAATCTGTAGACCACTATTTAGACAGAACGTAATGCTACGCACTCTGCAAATACACACAGGTCAATGTTTCTTATAGAAGCATTTATGCTAGCCACTTTCAACTTTTCCACAAAAATATTTCCACCATTAAGCTAGCTGCAGCCCATCTTCTGACCATAAACAGCTAGACTATCCAGCAGCTGTACTATCCTGGAAATGGGGCTTTGTTTCTTCCATAACAAACCAAAGAAAACTTGTTTCTTTGAATTGTCATGAGAGGAATCAACTAACAGAGGGGAAATTACCCTCATTCAAATGACACAACCAATTACAGAGAAAAACACCATGGTTTGTTCAGCCTCTCTTGCTACAAGCCACAATCTCAACGTTATTGGAACCAATACACTTCAAATCCAGAATGAGTTTCTGCAGTCCTCTGGTTTATTGTGTTGCGCAGCTATAATATTTGGCCACTGAATATTACAGTTGAGCCAGAGCCCATATACTGCTATGGGCTTGAAAGGGTATTCAGTGGTTCTCAACCTGTGGGTCCCCAGATATTTTGGCCTTCAACTCCCAGAAATCCTTACAAGTAGTAAAGTGGCTGGAATTTCTGGGAATTGAAGGTCAAAACACCTGGGGACCCACAGATTGAGAACCACTGGTATAGGTGATTAGCTCCAAATCATTAAAGTAGTAAGAAAAAGATACCTGTTTATTAAAATATGTTTAAAATCAGTTTAAAGGAACCTTCTACAACAGAACGAAAATACCACTGCATACAGAACAAAGTGATGTTCCTTAAATAACAAATGTTTCTGAAACACATAGCATAGCTGGCAGTTGCAATGTCTAGTAACTAGGTCTTAATCATAAAGCCTAGAAAGTCCTACAATCAACTGCCAACTTGGACAATGGCTGCACAGGCACCTTCTAAAAAGATTGAAAGCAGTCCAAATGCAACAAGTACTTAGATTTTGCTCACTATTCTCCTAGTCAAAGTCTTTGAAGTCCTATTACAGTCTGACAGAAAGTAATTTAATCACAAGAGTGGAATGCTAGGCCTAAAAACATTGCAATCACCTCAAGTGTTTCAAAGAGTCTATAATGGTTTTTAGGGCTTTCAATTGCCTCCAAAAATCTATGTAAATTGAATTTTTGGTAGAGCTTTATTTGTGTAATAGTACACATGTTTGTGTGCCAAAGCTACAGAATTCTTTCTAGTCTTCTTCCTTAGTTAATCTCTGTATGCCAGACATTGTTCAGTTCTCTTTTCAAAACACCGCTACAACCTCAGTATATCCATAACCACATTCTTATCCCATTGTAACCAAACTCAAGATTTTTTCATCATATGTATTTGGTTACCTTTTCAAACCAAAGTTATATCTGGATCTCTACATTTTGTCAAAACATTTCCCCCGCTTGTCTTTCTAATCCAAAAACTATCACTTCTCAAATTCTATGTCAATAATTTCCAAATGCAACTGGCTCATCTCCTGTCATGTCAGCATCCACTATTTTGCTCCCAGTTTAGCACTCCCTATATTCAGAATTATTTCTGAAATCAAGTATATTCAACCTGTGCCAACATCTGAATATTTACAAGTAATATTTTCAGTTACTACATACTCAATAACACAGACCTCAGAACAAAATATTTCTAAATATTTCTAATAATATTTTTCACTTGACAGATGGGAAAGTAAATGCAGAGAAAGTATGACAGCTAATTCCAATCAGTACAACATATTACAGTTGACATTCAAAATGTAAATACAGAAAAGTCCCCAAATTTTGCGAATAACCAAAAACAAATGCTATTTGCTACCTTTACTGACTAAATGAATGAACCATGACCCTGAGTTTGCAAGACCTAAGCGAGGCTGTTACTGACAAGATCTTTTAGAGATTTCTTATCCATAGTGTCACCATATGTCATAGGTCAGCTTAAGCTGACGATCATATCTATATGATTGTTAAACTTTGGTCTTGATATGTTTCTTGAAAATCAGAATTTTATCTGGGGTTATAGTAATCCCTGTGTTGCAGTTGGATAGTTACTGTAATTGACTTTTTATTTTTGTCACACCAGCCATAAAAACAGAACTGGCTAAAAATGACACAGGACACCTGACACTACACTGTCTGCCAGGATTTATAATGGGATTGTTTCATTTGGCAAAAAACAATCCATCATTTAAAAAGCAGTATATCTGATATGCCACAACAGAAAAATTAAAAGACGCGTTCGAAATGACACTCTTCCTCTTGCTTTTAAAGTCTTCTCTTATTTAACCAATAAAGGACAGAAAAATGGTCAAGTCTCAAAATCTAATTGAAATAAAGCAGAAAAGGGGGGGGGGAGGCTTGGGAAAAACTAGACATTACCTAGGGATGGGGGATATATACACAGCTTGTGGGGAATGAGAGGCAAGGATATTGTGTCAAGTAAGATGATTCACATGCGGATAAATATATTGCTCACATTGATTAAATTAACAAGGTAAGTCTTATGCCACTAGTTTCTAGCGTATCTTGAATACATATACTGCCTGCTAAACCTATCACTTCAAAGATGTTTCCAACATATTCCAGCATATTGGTTGCTCATGCTATACATCTACCCAGGCAATACTTACCAGTCATCCCCTACATTGAAAGCATTGAGGCTTTTGGTGAATCCTTGCATGTTGTTGGGACTCACTCTCTGAAGGAAATCAATGTAATCTTCTGAGTGAAAGCGGCACATGTCATGTTGGGATGCTTGATATGGTTTAAAAACCTGTAGGATAAATTTCTCTAATTTAATTACGTAGTTTTTAGATTTCTCTTGATACAGAATCCAAGTTACTGCTCTATGCCTTCAAGTTATTTCTGACTCAGGGCAACCCCAAGGCCTTTACAGGTTTTTATTGGCAAGATCTATTCAGAGGAAGTTTGTTTCTGTTTTCCTTAGAGGCAGAGAATGTGTGACTTGCCCAAAATCACCCAGTGGGGTTCCTTGGCTGAGCGGGCATTTAAACTCTGATCTCCAGAGTTGTAGTCCAACTCTCAGACCATTATGACACATAGGACCCACGACAGTTCACAATACAGCTGAAACAAGGTACAACTAAAACTGAATACAAAAACTTAAAAAGCTGTCATAAATTTATAAAACAAAGGTTTTTTCCATGTCAGGAGTGACTTGAGAAATTGCAAGTCACTCCTGGTGTGAGAGAATTGGCCATCTGCAAGGACGTTGCCCAGGGGATAAAGCATAAAGATAAAACAGCAGCCCATGTTCCATTAAAAACTTTTCTGCAACCAGTTAATAATCTTTACCTGTGAAATGAAACACCGGGGGGGGGGGGGGGCTAATTTCCCATGAAAGTGATTTCTATGAAAAGTGTGCTAAATGGCAGAAATCTGTTCGTTTTTGTTTCAAATATAGGATGCCCCTGCCCTGTTTTGTTTTCAGGAAGATTCTTCCAAAAACAGAAACTGAACTCTAGATCCCAAATTACGAATCCAAACGTGCCCCCCCTTCCTAATCTTCCAGAATCTTTCTAAAAAACAGAACAAGGGGCACCAGATTTCTGCCATTTTGTACACCCCTAATACTGCCTGAGAGAAGGCACTGAGAAAGCCCTCTCACATGTCAACACCAGAAAGACCTATGGATACACTGGGACCATAACAAAGTTCTCCCTCCTGCAAGAATCTTAAGATTTATACAGGCTCATATAGGAGTGTACAGTCATTCAGGCAATCTGGACGTAAACCCTATAGACATTTTAAGTAACAACAACCACTCTGAATTGTACTTGGTATCCAATGAAGATGCTTCAACAAGTGTGTCTTGTATGTTCCCTATAATTTATTTATTTATTTCCGGTATTTCTATCCTGTCCTTCTCAACCCCCGAAGGGGGACTCAGGACGGCTTACACTTGGCAACAATTCGATGCCATAGTTACAAGCAAACATCTTGTATTTGTTATTTGGATAACCAGTTACAGTAACTGCTTCGGCCACATTTGAGCCTGCTGAAGTCTTCAAAATTTCCAAATGCCGCCCCACATTGAGTGTGTTATGGTCATCCCAAGTAGGATGAAATCAAAGTATGTTTTGCTGTAACCAGATGTGATATCTCCAGGAATAGTAACAACACATACACTGACTTTAATTGGCTGCTGCCAAAACCTGGGTATTCAGGCTGAGGGCGAAATTCAAAAGTATGTTCAAGTTGCAATTATGGATTTCAGGAGGAGCGCTACCCCATCCAGCACAAGCCATTTCTAAGGTGTAAGTCTCTACTTAACCTGTATCAGGTTAGCCACTTGATCCTTTTTTTATTTAGCAAATGTTTCTAGTTGAACACCAAACTGAGGGTGGACATTAGCTTGGCCAAGGAGTTCATACATCTTGGTGTGTCATTTAGTCCTCTGATAAGCTAGCTTCCTAATCAGATCATTTGTATGAGTTGGAGAAACCAAAAAAGAGGATAGGTTACTGTCTAGTAAGGTGATTCCTCAGATAGTCATCTGTGCACAGTAAAAGCAACCCCATTTACCATGCCAAGCTGTGCACCTGAGATTTCAAGAAGGGGAATGTGTAACTCCATGCAGCACAAACCGTATTGTAGTTGTGCCTTTTGACTGACTAGGAACAACTTTATCTTGAAAGTATAACATTTCAATACTGACAACAGACACCAATATAACACTATAACAATATAAGAACTTCCCTGAAAGAAGACAGAAGTAAGAGATAGAATTTGTTGCCAACAATATACTGGTGATAACAAATTCCAGAACTCTAAGCAACTGCTCCCAGACTGCTGAACAGGCATTTCTCTCCCAGAAGGACTTCAACAATTATAAAACATTGTCCCCAAGTTCTAGCCCAGCACACTGATTGAGAAGTACGCTATGGACCCAAAGCCACCAGAAAGTCCAGTAGAAACAATAGGGACCAATTTTCCTGTCCAGTTACCAGCATAGGTGATACAACATGTCAACCAAAGCAATCTCCATCCCAGAGTCAGGCCCGATGCCAGACTGAAGTACATAGATCTACACGATCTGTTTCATCCAGGAAACTCAGGTGCTAGAAGGCCACCACATGACAGAATTTAGCACAAAACATAATATTGGAGACTGGTTAGTAAATCTCTGGTGTTGTGCGGGGAAATGATAGAGTACATCGGAGATGGGGAACAAGGAGCAAAGTGGAGCAAACAGGAAAGAGATGGGGTAAAGCAAAAAGAGCATGAACCCCTAGAAGCATGGGACAGAATGCATCAAACCTGGCAATGCTACTATTTTTATGTGTCTTGTTGCTGATGAGTAGTTCTAGTTTGAAGGGTGCCTTGTTAATAGCTGCTGTAACTTTTTACTATTATGTAACTGTTACAGCCAGTCCTCTCTTACCCAACTTTTCTTCCATTCTGACCTCACTCTTTCCTGTTTCTCACTACACCATCATATGTATATAGACCAGGTTAGTCTTTTATTAATCTGATGAAATAGACTCCGCTGTGTGAAAACTTATGCCATAATAGGCTACTTAAATCGAAGTTTTCTCAAGGGCTGAACATCTCATACTGTTGCATAAGAGGCTCTGAATCTTGTTTTCTCTAATAGTCGTAACAACGTAACGTCGTGCCTAACATCTATACATAGTAGGGCTGGGCGGTTTCGTTTCGTTAATTCGTAATTCGTTAATAATTTGTTAATTTTTTCAATTACAAAACGATAATGAACCATTCTGGAGCAATTATTAAAAAAACGAATTTTCAAAAACGTTTTGTAAATGCTTCGTATTTCGATATTGTATTCATTTTGTTATTGTTTTGAGGTCGTTTCGTTATTATTTCCGCATGTCTGGGCCAGTTTTATGGTTTAATTAGTGAAAAAAAATTATAATATCACACCAACAGTCAACAACAGAGGGAGAGGGAAGCTTCAGAAGGTTTTGGAGGTTTTTTAGCATATTTCGCGGTTGCGTCCGCCATTAATGAATCGATTCGTTATTGTTTCGGAAATCGATTCGTTAAATTTTTACCATTTACGAAATTTCGTAAATATCGAACTTTTTAAAAGGAAAATTTTGTAATTATTTTAAATATCGAAACAAAAAAACCCCCCAAATACAAATCGATTTTAGAAACAAATTTTTCCGTTGTTACCCAGGCCTAATACATAGCACTGCCCTCAACTCAAGTGGTTAGAAGCCTTCAATGTTCTCCACCACAAGTCAATAGCCTGCTATGGAAAGTTCGTAAGATACCTTGGAAACAGTTCGGTGATTACTTTCCATTACCACAAAGCAAGAGTTGAAGATATTTTTCTGACTATCCTTTTAACATTTAAAACAAGCTGGGCAATTGGCAAAAAAGTTAGCCAGATCCAACATTTTGATTTCCCCTTCTTTACCCTTGTAAAACCATAATATTATAAATGCCAGGTGTGCCTGGAATGTCCTCTACAATATATCTGACTTCAGGCTCTATTTACAAGAATGTAAATGCTAGAAGGAGAGATGGAAAACATATCATTGGCTGCTAATGGAGAAAATATCGGAAGAAAGAGAAGGAGGAAAGAGTAGACGTGCATGTACATTAGCCACTGACTTCAAAGGGTAAGTGTGACTTCCTCTTTGGTGGTCTTTAAAAAGAGGTTAGAAGAGCATCGCCTAAAACTACTTATGTATTCCTGAACAGTAAGGGATTGGTCTGGATGGCACTTGTGATCCTATTATTCTACGTGGGAGCACTGCATTTGGAAGTCCTCCAACCAGTGGAGCTTAAGCCTATGACCAGCTGTCTAGCCAAAGCAGGACACCTCTATAACAAAGACACAGAGAACAAATCCTGCAAAACTCCAGATTTGTATTCTAACTCCTATCTTCTCACGTAAAATCTAGGGCACAGTCACTTAACAGTGTTAACCATATTAGTAATTCATCAACCACTGCATCACCTCCAATGTGATATGTTTCATCATCTCTTTCCACCACACTTTAACTGAACACATCAGTTTCAAAAGAACTGAAAAAATTGACAGATTTGGTATCTGTACTAACAACATTCAAAGATCCACAGGAGAATATTTCAAACCACTAAAAGCACTGTAAATCAGGGCAGGAGACAAAGATCCAGATCTATTGATATAACTCTTATGTCATTTACAGTAGACTCACCAACAGTTTCCAATTACTATGAGTGGAGTGACTATCTGCTTCTCTAGCTGACCTGGTGAAACTGCAGCTGTTATTGTGTTTAGTGATGAGAGAAATGCTGGCAGCTGTGCAAGAAACTTGTCATCCAGCAACAAGGAGGAACTGGAAAATCACTTGGCAGGAGTGCGGCACAATGCAGAGGTACGTCAATACGTCAGCACGAAGGTGGAGAAAGGAGGAGGTTGTCAACACAATGTTTTAGAAATACCATGGTCTTGGAGGGGGCAAGGGGAGAGACCTAAGATATAGTTCAAAATTGGACAAGGGGTCCTTCCAAAAGGGAATGCAAGGAAGTCAAGGAGGACCTTTTCATCAGGCTCTCCGCAAGGCATGAGCTCAAACTATACTATACAGAGCCCCAGCTGTTGTATCTCAGGCTAAAATTCACCTTGCTTTCTCTGACAAACCAGCCAAACTTATGAAGAAAGAAGTTTATTGTGAAGTTTCAAACAAATCAGAATATAAGCAGTATAAAGTCCATAGTATAAGGTAAAAATCCAATAGATTCCTTTTGAGTCAAAGCAGGAAACTTGAAGCAAGAAGCAGCATAATAATCCAGGAAATAGCATGAGGTTACATGAAGCAGGCTTTCTTCCCCAAGGCCCAAGCCCCAGAGCAAGAGACAAAGCGAGCCATTTTGCAACGTTGAAACTGACGCCGAATCAGCTCCCAGGCAGTTTACTTATAGGTAAAACATCAAAACATTGAACATTAAACAGACAGCTAACAAGCAGTTTTCCCACTCAAGACTTGGCCGCAGTTCGTAAACTCCTTCTTAACACCTGTGGCACAGTCTGACCTTCACCAGCTGTTTTATCAGCCACATTCCGTTCCTGTGATAACAATGGTTTCTCTCTAGCTACAGACTGTGGCTGAGAAAACTGAGAAATCTGAAATCCCACACATGCATCTGTATTCCCATTCTCATCATGCTGTTGCTGCTGAACCACAACACCAGCTCCAAACAAAAGAGGAAAGACACTCCTCTAAGCCAGCAATGGTCTGGCTAACTTGGTTAGGAAAAATCTGTAGACCAGCAAGCTAGCTCAATGTATGGCACTGTTAGAAGCACCAGCCTGAATCTATTAAAGACTTCCATTCTTTCCTGGACCTGATTCTGATGATGCTGGACGCCTGGGAGAGGTGCTTCTCGCCCAGACATATTAGGCAGTTAGGGTGTACGTTGTTGTCCGGATATTTATTTGGACACGACATGCACTTTTTAAAAGATGTAGTAGCCATTGTTATTGCTATTTAAAGTTATTTTCTTGTATTTTTATGAGAATATAATGTAGTCTCTGATTTCCTTGCTGCTTTTAGCAGTGGATCGGAAGAACTGAGGGTAGCCCCTCCCACGGGCTATTTATACGGACGGGGAAAGTGGGCGGGGCTACTCTAACCATCAAATTAGTCTCGAGAATTTCCGTTGCTGCCTGCACAAGCACAGGAATATACCATATGTGCAAATCACAACTGACCATGAGGGGAAATTATGGATCCCGACCCAGTGTGAACTCCACAACAGAATTTTCCTGCTGCTACTTAAGACAACAGAGGCCTCTTCCGGTCAGGAACAAGGCTCTTTCAGGCTGGATTTGGATGATGCACACCAACCTTATTAATCACGATTTAATGTTACCTTCCAGGGAGACAGCCAGACTGGACAGAAAGTCTGATTTTGTGAAGGAACAAGCAGTGGGAAGAGCTTCCTTGTAACAAAGAAACTGTGGACTTAAAAGGAACAAGCAGTGGGAAGAACTTCCTTTTAAGCCAAGGAACCATGGGGCTAGAATCCTTATTTGTGTTTTACTGGCAGACAACGGAACTGCAGAGCTACAATATGCTCCTCTTCTTGGAGAAAGTGGGCTGCGTTGGATATTTTGCTTTTATGTAATTGTTAATGTCTGTTCCTTCAATGCTTCATTCTCCTTTCACCTTGTTCCTTTCAATTCTCCTGAACAATTGTTGTTTATTCGTTCAGTTGCTTCTGACTCTTTGTGACTTCATGGACCAGACCACACCAGAGCTCCCTGTCGGCTGTTGCTACACCCAGCACCTTCAAAGTCAAGACAGTCACTTCAAGGAAACAATACACCCATCTTGCTCTTGGTCTGCCTCTCTTTCTTTTTCCTTCCATTTTCCCCAGCATCATTGTATTCTCAAAGCTTTCCTGTCTTCACATTATGTGGCCAAAGTATTTCATCTTTGCCTCTAATATCCTTCCCTCCAATGAGGAGTCAGGCTTTATTTCCCGGATTATGGACTGATTTGATCTTCCTGCAGTCCAAGACACCCACAGTTCAAAAGCATCTATGTTCCTTTGGTCTGCTTTCCTTATGGACCAGCTCTCACATCCATAAGTTACTATGGGGAATACCATTGCTTTAACTATGCGGATCCTCATTGACAGTGTGATGTCTCTACTCTTCACTATTTTCTTGATATTGGTCATTGCTCTCCTCCCAAGAAGTAAACATTTTCTGATTTCCTGGCTGCAGTCTGTGTCTGCAGTAATCTTCGTGCCTAGAAATACAAAATCTGTCACTGCCTCCATGTTTTCTCCCTCCATTTGCCAGTCATCGATCAGTCTGGTTGCCATAATCTTTGTTTTTTTATGTTTAACTGCAACCCAGCTTTTGAACTTTCTTCTTTCACCTTGGTTAGAAGGTGACACCTGAACCATATCTAGTCGATTTAGACAGATTTCTTATTCACCTGCCTCATACCCTAAATCACACGGAATGGCTTTCAACAATTTCAAACTATAATATTATATAGAATCTTGCACTGAACAAAAATGCAAAAATAAAATATGAAGAAAATAAAATATTAATTCAGAGAACACAGGTAAAACAATCTCAAATACAACATTACCACTTGAACGTATTGTCGAAGGCTTTCATGGCCAGAATCACTGGGTTGTTGTAGGTTTTTTCGGACTATACGGCCATGGTCTAGAGGCATTCTCTCCTGACGTTTTGCCTGCATCTATGGCAAGCATCCTCTCTACCTCTGAGGATGCTTGCCATAGATGCAGGCAAAACCATATAGCCCAAAAAAACCCTACAACAACCCATTACCACTTGAGCTTTCTGAAATACAAATGTCTGGTTCTGTCAGCAAAAAGACAAGGACTATGTGTGCACTTCATATGGGCAAGGTATTCCACAACATTGACACAGCTACTGAGTTAGTCATAACCATCTTTTCGTTGCAATAATTTAATGTGGATGTTACCTGAAACATCTCATTGATCTCAGTAATGGGTGCAACTGGCACACTAGCCTAAACCAAGCAGTTACTCTGCTTCCAATTGGTCATAAAGGTGCATCAAGAGCAACCCATCACTGAAAACTCTTTTTTTTTCCTTTCCCCATCCAAAACAGGGGAATCCTCATCCAATTGTCATTACATAAAAAGTAGAAATTGAGCTGATAAAAATATCTCCAAACCCACAAATGACGTCTCCTACTGGTTTCATACAGATGGCTTCCAAAGTTATCACTATGACTTCCTGGATCTGCTGGACCATAATGCTGCACCATAATAGAGAAATAATAAAGTACTATAAGAGTGATTCCACTATTTTCCCCTAGACCCCTATACAGCATCTTTATTCACCAGCATGAATAAAGATATACTGAGAGGCATGAATATTTTTTGACTGTGTACTGCCAGCTTGAATAAGAATTCCAGATATTATGCGAAAATTGTATTATGTGAAGGATCCCAGAATAAATCCATCATGTAATATGCAGGCCTAATGTGTATACATATTATTTGGAATATCACTGCAAAATATGGGAAACAGTATTTTAAAAAGAATATTAGTTTCTTAAAACCAGAGCTATGCTGAACTCTGCAAATGTAATACTTACAATCATTTTCTTATAGAGTCCATAGTGGAGCACAAGACTGTGAGTTAGTGCCAAACGATGGGGCTTCATAGGATGTCCTGCTCCTGATAGAAGAAGAAGAGCATAAAATTAACATCCAGTCATCAAAAATACAAGTCAGTTGAAAGGGATCCAGCTGACAAAACAGGTCAACAAAGGAAAATATCCCACAAAGAGGGAAGTAATACAAGAGACATCAAGACCTATGTGAAGAAAAGATGGGTATATAGTAATATATAGCTTAAATATTCCAATTGCTAAAAATGTCTGTCTTGTTTAAAGTCATTCAACCGTTCTCTTTCGCACTAGCTCTTCAGATAGTGTTCTATGAATTATGTTAATTCAGAATGCTAAAATGTCTTTTGATTATGGATATTTTAAATCTGTTTACAATTATTTATAAAATATTGCTATCTGATGATTATCACATAGTACAATATGCATGAAATAGATTTTAAAGGGAAATTTACAAACAGAACTCCTTTGTTAAGCCCGTAACAAAAGTTAATGCCAGAGTTTGAAAAGGTTAAAAGAATGGATTTTAATACCATGCCACACTGTCATTTTTACAATATAGAATTTGGTCTTAACCTTATTTTAATAATCATATTTTATGTGGTTTTATTTGTATTGTACTTATTTTAACACCCTAATTCTTATTATGGGAAAAAGGCGGGTTATTCATCTGGGTTTGCTGTAGTAAGTATCACCAGGCAAAATACTCTGTTTCAAGTAATTTTATCATTGTTTGTGCCTTCAAATCTTTCTGACGTATGGTGACCCTAAGATGACCGATTTGTGCAGAGGTTTGCTTTTGCATTTTTCCGAGGCTTACTCAAGGTCATGAGTGGATTTCTATGGCCAAGCAGAAATAAGAACCCTGATCTCCAAAGTCACAACCTAGAACTCAAACCATTATTCAGCACTGGCTCTGCACACTAGATGCCACTGAGCTAAACTGTGTGCTCCAAGTGACTTGAAGCTGAGATCTCAGGAGTATATGGCTCTGCCAAAAGGACCTTTCCCAGATGATCTCAAGTGTAATAGAAGGCAAACACAGTCTCTTGATTAACAAGATCACAATTTGAGATGAAGGGGATTACAATTGAGTCTCTGAGATGAAAACCATAAAAATGAATGTTATATTACAATTCTCCACATCATTGAAACACCATACAAATCATTAGAATGCTTAAAATGCTACATATATAGTTGTATATTTGAAGTTGTGAGCTGCTTTGAGTTTCTGTATGGAGCAAAAAAGCAGGATACAAAAAAAAAACCAGTGATATTTATTTATATCCTGCCCTATCTCCCCCAAAAGCCGCATAATAAACAAACATAATAATAATAATAATAATACTGCTGCTTATGAAGCAAAAAATGTGTGCGCATCAAGTAATCAGAAAGCAAGGGTGTCAGTGGGCATATCTGCAATATAGAATGGGTAGTCTGGCCCTACTTTAATTGACGTGGCTCAAGGCTATTTATTTATTTATTTTATTTAGGACATTTATATACCGCCCTTCTCACCCCGAAGGGGACTCAGAGTGGCTTACTATATATACATGTAATATATTAAATTATTAGCATAGTACAATATCAGTATTAAATATTACTATATTGTACTATTCCATTATATTGTAATATTATAAGTAATATTACATGTAATATAAATATATAACTATAATATATTATTATTAGCATTATATTGCATTACATTATATTATAAATATTATAGGTATCTATAAAAATAAAAATGTAATGTTCGTTTGTGGGATTAACAGAACTCAAAAACCAGTGGGTGAATTGACACCAAGTTTGGACAGGATACACCTAACAACCCAATGTATGTTCTTCACTCAAAAAAAATATTTTTTCTCATTTGGGAGCTGTAGTTCTTGGGATTTATAGTTCACCTACATTCAAAGAGCATTCGGAACTCCACCAATGATGGAATTGATCTAAAGGTGACACACAGGACTCCCATAAGCAACAGAAAACACTAGAAGGGTTTGGTGGGCATTGACCTTGAGTTTGGGAGTTGTAGTTCACCTACATCCAGAGAACACTGTGGACTCAAACAATGATGGATCTGGACCAAACTTGGCACAAAAATTCCATATGCCCAAATATGAACACAGATGGAGTTTGGGGGAACTAGACCTTGACATTTGGGAGTTGTAGTTACTGGGATTTATAGTTCACCTACAATCAAAGAGCATTCTGAAGTCCAAAAACGACAGAATTGGGGCAAATTTCCCACGAAGAACCCCCATGACCAACAGAAAATACTTAAGGCCATCCAATCCAACTCTCTTCACCAGGGCAAGAAAATCTAATCAAAGCCCTCCAGACAACGAGCCATCCGGCCATAGATATAGATTGATTATTATTCACACACACACACACAGATGTAGCATCATAGATTTGAAAAGAGACCCCTAAAGATGGACTATGATATGTTGCATATTTCAGAGTAGGCAAACCGGACACTCTCCACATCAACACTGACAAAGAAACATCACGAAATACTGTTTACCCACAAGCATAAAGAAATTACATATATTAGAAACCAACATTTTCCCATTATTTTATTTTCCAGATCACCAGACTGGGCCACAGCAACACGTGGCAGGGGATGGCTAGTAATATCTATATAAATAAAAATGTAATGTTTGTTTGTGGTATTCACAGAACTCAAAAACCACTTGGGGAATTGACACCAAATTTGGACACGATACATCTAACAACCCAATTTATGTCCTTCACTCAAAAAACTGATGTTGTCATTTGCTGGGATTTATAGTTCACCTACAATCAAAGAGCATTCTGAACACCACCGATGGAGTTGAACCAAACTTGGCACACAGTTCCATAACCAACAGAAAATACTGGAAGCGTTTGGTGGGCAGTGTCCTTTGGTTTTGCAGTTGTAGTTCACTTACATCCAGAGATCACTGTGGACTCAAACAATGGTGGATCTGGACCAAACTCTACACGAATACTCAATATGCTCAAATGTAAACACTGGTGGAGCTTGGGGAACATAGAATCTTGAAATTTGGGAGTTGTAGTTACTGGGATTTATAGTTCACCTACAATAAAAGCCCCTGGTGGCGCAGTGGATTAAAGCACTGAGCTGCTGAGCTTGTTGATCAAAAGGTCGCAGGTTCGATTCCGAGGAGCGGCGTGAGCTTCCGCTGTCAGCCCTAGCTTCTGCCAACCTAGCAGTTCGAAAACATGCAAATGTGAGTAGATCAATAGGTACCACTCCAGCGGGAAGGTAACGGCGCTCCGTGCAGTCATGCCGGCCACATGACCTTGGAGGTGTCTACGGACAATGCTGGCACTTCGGCTTAGAAATGGAGATGAGCACCACACCCCAGAGTCAGACATGACTGGACGTAATGTCAGGGGACTACCTTTACCTTTTACAATAAAAGAGCATTCTGAACCCCACAAATGACAGAATCGGGACAAACTTCCCACACAGAACCCCCATGACCAACAGAATATACTTAAGGCCATCCAGTCCAACTCTCTTCACCAGGGCAAGAAATCTAATCAAAGCCCTTCAGACAAAGAGCCATTCGGCCATAGATATAGATAGATATTATTCACACACAGAGAGAGATATAGCTTCCTAGATTTGAAAGGGACCCCTAAAGATGGACTATGATATGCTGCATATTTCAGAGTAGGCAAACCAGACACTCTCCACATCAACAATGACAAAGAAACATCACGAAATACTGTTTACCCACAAGCATAAAGAAATTACATATATTAGAAACCAACGCTTTCTCATGACTTTATTTTCCAGATCACCAGACTGGGCCACAGCAACGCGTGGCAGGGGACAGCTAGAAATATCTATATAAATAAAAATGTAATGTTCGTTTGTGGTATTCACAGAACTCATAAACCACTGGGGAAATTGACACCAAATTTGGACATGATAGACCTAACAACCCAATTTATGTCCTTCACTCAAAAAATTGATGTTGTCATTTGGGAGTTGTAGTTTATTTATTTATGGCATTTATATGCCACCCTTCTCACCCCGAAGGGGACTCAGAGCGGCTTACAATATATATTTTCATACATTATATTATTAGCATAGTACAATATCAGTATATATTACTATATTGCACTATACCATTATATTGCAATATAAGTTGCTGGGATGTATAGTTTACCTACAATCAAAGAGCATTCTGAACACCACCAACGATGGAATTGAACCAAACTTGGCACACAGTTCCATAACCAACAGAAGATACTGGAAGCGTTTGGTGGGCAGTGTCCTTTGGTTTTGGAGTTGTAGTTCACCTACATCCAGAGATCACTGTGGACTCAAACAATGATGGATCAGGACCAAACTCTACACGAACACTCAATATGCTCAAATGTAAACACTGGTGGAGTTTGGGGAAAATAGAATCTTGAAATTTGGGAGTTGTAGTTGCTGGGATTTACAGTTCACCTTCAATCACGGAGCATTCTGAACCCCACCAACGATAGAATTGGGTTGAACTTCCCACACAGAACTCCCATGTGGGCCACAGCAACGCGTGGCAGGGGACAGCTAGTTATAAATATTATATGTATATACAATATATTATACTACATTACATTATTATATGGCATCCTGGGAGTCATAGTTTGGGCAGAGAAGGCCCAAGACCTTGTAAAAAGACCCTAAAAGTGGTCTCAAAGTGCATTCAGTACATTCAGCAGCATTCCCAGGGCAAGGCCTTCCGCCTCAGGGCCTTGGTACCCAAGTGCAGCATCCAAGGAGTGGGGAGGGCACACAGTAAACCTCGGTAAGGAAAATATCTTTCCACAAGTTTCCCTCTTGAAGCCTCTTGAAGCCCCCCGCCCCTCCTCCTGGAAGAATGGTTTCTCTTCCTAAGAAGCCACGGGAGGCCTTTTCCGGCCAGGAGCCCCCGCTCCGCAAAGGCCCAACGTCACTCTGCCTCCGCGCGCGCGCACGCACCGTAGTGGAAGTTGCCTACATCAGGGTCGTAGAAGTAGGCCACCGTCTTCGCCATGCTGCCCGCCCGAGTAACGGACGCCCCACGGGCCGCGCAGCCCCGCCCACAGCGTCCTACGTCATTACGCAGGCAGTGACAGAGGAGAGTGCGCTCTCTCGCCCGCCTTTTGGGGGCGGGTGCTTACTCGAGTCTCAGCAAACTCTCGCGATATTTGACCAGCGCCCCAGGCAAATGTCAGCATTCGTCTCTTTTCGTTTTACGTCAGGATCCCTTCTTTGGGCTTCTTAAGTGTTGACATTGATTGTTGGGGCTCCTTGTTTAAATAAACCTTCCCCAAGTCTCTGCATAGGAAAATGGAAACCAGGAGTGCTTTTATTTACAAAATATTCATTACAAAATGGATCAATTACAACTACAATTGATAAAATACAAAAGAATTAAAAAAGATTAAAATATTAAATCTACCTAATACAATTAATCTCACCCAACCTATTCTACTTGTACGCAGAACACATCATGTGATGTGCAGGGCTTAATGAATGTAAGTCTGCAGGGAAAATTGCTGGAAGAAACATCAACAACCTTAGATATGCAGATGATGCCACTTTGATGGTCGAAAGCTGTGCCGTCGCGCCTGGGGCTATAAAGAGGCATGGACGTGACTGCTTTCCCCAGGGGATTGCTTCTTGCCTTCCTTTAGGGAAACTGGAACTCCCAAGGACCAGAACACAGCAATTGACTTGAAATGGTGTTTATTGTTAACAGTTAGTTCTCTTTTTCAAGTACAACTTGTGTTTCAACTGGGAAAAATACTTTATAAACTCTAAAGTCCAGGGTCCTAGGAGTAGTAAGCTGAGAAGCTTTTCCTGTTCCCTCTCTCTCAATGGCTGTGGATGCCGGAGCAAACCACAACCCCAGTTCAGTGGCCTAAATTGAAGGACAAGACCTTCCTATGGTGCCAAAGAACTGGAATGAAGGCGCCTGAGGTCTTCACAATTTCGTTCAGGAGGTTTGAACATAAAGAATAAGACTCAAGGGTCAAAACCTAAGAACTGGTAGTAAAAAATGCCTTGACCAGGGGCTTTTGGGCCAAGCTTTTGGACACGTCCATCCAATGAGTCTTTTACTGAGGTAAAAAAGGTGAAGAAGAAACCTTCCCTTTCTCCCTTGGAAGGGGCGGAGCCTAAAAAACAGAACTGGGGAAACAAGCCAATTGGTGCACAACAACAATAAATTGTCAGCTATAATAACCAATGAAATTTAACTATACATGTACAAGGTAGACAGAAATAAAATGGCAGTTTAAAATCCTGCAACTAACAGTTCTAAATATATGAGGCGCCACACGCGCCGTCACAAAAGCGAAGAGGAGCTGAGGAGCCTTGTAATCATGGTGAAAGAAGGAAGTGCAAAAGCTGGGTTGCAGCTAAACATTAAAATACCAAGATTCTGGCAACCAGAATGATTGATAACTGGCCCGTCATCATTGGTAAAGAGTCTGGGAGTCCTTTTGGACCCTCTGCTGACGATGGAGGCCCAGGTCTCCGCCGTTAGCAGAGCCGCCTTTTTTCATCTGCGGCAGGTTAGACGGCTGGCCCCCTACCTGTCCAGGGACGACCTAGCTACGGTGATCCAGGCCACGGTCATCTCAAGACTGGACTACTGTAACGGCCTCTACATTGGCCTTCCTCTGTCGCTGATCCGGAAGCTCAAGTTGGTACAAAATGCTGCTGCTCGGCTTCTTGCGGGAATTCTGATGAGATGCCACATAACACCAATCTTACTACAGCTGCATTAGTTACCAATTGAGCACCGGATCACTTTCAAAGTGATGGTACTCACCTTTAAGGCCTTGCATGGTCTGGGGCCGATGTACCTGAGGGACCGCCTCACCCCCTACCAACTCCAGAGATCCCTCCGTTCTGAGGACCAAGATCTATTGGAAGTCCCCAGTGTCAAGACCTTGCATCTAACAGCAACCAGACGCAGAGCCTTCACAGCAGTGGCACCATCACTCTGGAATACTCTGCCACCTGAAGTCCGTGCCTTGCGGGACTTACCAGCTTTCCGCAGGGCATGTAAGACATACCTGTTTCGACAGGCTTTTAATGTTTGATATTGCTGTTTTTAAATTGTTTTAAATTGCTTTTAAATTTTGTTAGATTTTAGCCATTCTTGTAAGCCACTCCGAGCCCCAGGGGAGTGGCGGCATATAAGTTCAAATAATAAATAAATAAATAAATAAATAATAAGATATCATTGGGATGGGAGCCGGGTGAGGCAGCATAACTTCCTTTTTTCAAAACTTAATAAAACCCATTGTATGAATCAGTTTTTTTTTAATAATGTAGGCGCATACCTAAAGTTTTGTTTTACGTAGTTTTGAAGATCAAATTAGGTAGGTGACGTCCCCCATTCTCCATTCTCCATACACTGAGTAAACCGATATCTGGCATTTGTCATGACTCTTTCCAGCATAGCAGGCGTCATGTTGGCAATTTCTTCCTGGATGTTGGTCTTCAAATCTTGTAGGGTCCTTGGACGGTTCACATAAACACGGGATTTCAAAAACCTCATAGAAAAAAATCACAAGGGGTCAAATCTGGAGAACGGGCCGGCCACTCCAAATCCGCTCGAAAAGTAGGCCTCAACGGCAAAAGCACGCTCCTCACTATTCCAACGCATGATGACGACTGAACTGTGTCAGGACAAAACTTTATACTCCCGCCTCTCAAACGAGACCACTAGCGTTCCACTATGTGTTCAACCAACTAAATGGTGCACATTTTAAAAAAGGAAGTTATGCTGCCTCACCCTGTACCACTTTGATGGCTGAAAGTGAGGAGGAGCTGAGGAGCCTTGTAATCAAAGTGAAAGAAAGTGCAAAAGCTGGGTTGCAGCTAAACATAAAAAACCAAGATTATGGCAACCAGAATGATTGACAACTGGAAAATAGAAGGAGAAAACGTGGAGGCCATGACAGACTTTGTATTTCTAGGTGCAAAGATTACTGCAGACGCAGACTGCAACCAGGAAATCAGGAGATGCTTACTTCTTGGGAGGAGCACAATGTCCAATCTCGATAAAGTAGTGAAGAGTAGAGACAACACACTGGCAACAAAGATCCGCCTAGTCAAAGCCATGGTATTCCCTGTAGTCACCTACTGATGTGAGAGCTGGACCATAAGGAAGGTTGAGCGAAGGAAGATAGATGCCTTTCATCTGTGATGTTGGAGGAAATTTCTGAGAGTGCCTTGGACTGTGAGAAAATCCAACCAGTCCATACTTCAGGAAATAAAGCCCGACTGCTTATTGGAAGGAAAGATAGTAGAGGCAAAGATGAATTACTTTGGCCACATCATGAGAAGACAGGAATGCTTAGAGAAGACAATGATGCTGGGGGAAAAGGAAGGAAAAAGGAAGAGGGGCCGACCAAGGGCAAGATGGATGGATGGCATCCTTGAAGTGACTGGCTTGACCTTGAAGGAGCTAGGGGTGGCCACGGCCGACAGGGAGCTCTGGTGTGGGCTGGTCCATGAGGTCACGAAGAGTCAGAAGCAACTGAACGAATGAACAACAACAAAATCTTTGGTGATAGTATGATAGCTGGCGTTATGCTGTCTCCGCAATGCAGCTTTGAGTACGCAGATAGTGCAACACAGTTCTTTAATGAAAATGATAAAGAAGAGTTTAAGAAATGGTTTGGGAAGACAGTAAACGGGATAGAAATCAGGAATCTGACCCAACATATTATTAAACACTTCAATGTTGTTCCCAGCCCACATCCACGCTGTCCACAAACTGGAGGGTGTTGGGCACAAATTCAATATGGTTGCCAAAAACTCACGGCCTGCTCCGTTTTCCGAAAGTGCTCAATAAACTGGATTAGAATCATTTCGCACCACTCCTCATATTTCTCCCCCCCCTTTCCATCCTTCCTTCTAATGCAACTAGGAACTATCTTCCCAATTTTGTTTCCCCCCCCCCCTTCCCGGCTCTCATTCTGCCCGCTCTCACTTCTCCCCCTCTCTTGACCATGTGGTTCCCTTCCCTGATCCACAACCGCCGTTGCGGAGGCAGCATAACGTTAGCGGCAGTGGGACGCAGCTATCATACTATCACCGAATCTTTTTCTTTTGTATTTTACAAATTGTAATTCATCAATTTTGTAATGAATATATATTAAATATATATAACATAAAAAGGGCCTCCTGGTGGCACAGTGAGTTAAACCACTGAGCTGCTGAACTTGCTGGCTGAAAGGTTGGTGGTTTGAATCTGGGAAGTAGGGTGAGCTCCTGCTCTTAGGCCCAGCTTTTGCCAACCTAGCAGTTTGAAAACATGCAAATGTGCGTACCGCTTCTGCGGGAAGGTAATTGCACTCCATGCAGTCATGTTGGCCACATGACCTACGACAGGGGTCCGCAAACTTTTTAGAGAGAGGGCCAGGTCACAGTCCCTCAAACTGTTGGAGGGCCGGATTATAATTTGAAAAAAAAAGAATTAATTTCTATGAACGCTGCACATATCTGATTTGTAGTGCAAAAAACACTTTAAAAAATACAATAATTAAAATGAATAATAATTTTAACAAATATAAGCTTATTAGTATTTCAATGGGAAGTGAGGGCCTGCTTTTGGCTGATAAGTTAGGATTGTTGTTGTTGTTGTATGCTTTTAAGTTGTTTCAGACTTAGGTTGACCCTGAGTAAGAGCCAGGTAAATGACCTTGGAGGGCCATATCTGGTCCCCAGGCCTTAGTTTGAGGACCCCTGACCTAGGAGGTGTCTACAGACAACTCTGGTTCTTCGTCTTAGAAATGCAGATGAGCACCACCTCCCAGAGTCAGACACGACTGGACTTAATGTCAGGGGAAACCTTTATCTTTACTATATAATAGAAAATATTTTTTACATCCTGTATAATGGCTATAATTGTAATGTACTCTTCGAAGGCCTAGGAAATATTTTTACTTTCTCTGATTTGTTGTCAATCCACTCCTTTGAGTTTTATGTAAATCTACCAAAATATGATCCTGTGCTATTCTTTTCCATTTCTGGCCAAATAGCTGAAATTTGGATAATATTTTATTAATAGGAAATGTTTTTTTAATAGGAAAATACAATTTA